AGACCGCAAATGCTGTATTTCACAGGCAAGCAAGGGTTTTGGCATCCCTCGTGGGGAAACGGCACGAAAAAAGTTACAAATAAGCAAAAAAAAGAGTTACAACTAACTAAATCCAGTTCAAAACCTTAAAAGTTACAAGTAAGCAAAAAAAGAAGTTACAACTAAGCGTGCTTCCAATTTTTGAGGTTTCAAGGATTTGGGTTCATAGTGCCTATTTACAGGTTTGAAGTTGATGAGTGGATGTACCGGGTTGGTTTGGGTTCCTTCGAGGGGCACCGCAACCACTCAAAGTCCGATGCTCTGAAGCTGCACCCCTAACCCTGCTCCAACATGAAATCCTCTGTTATAAGCCACGCAAAGGCAGGCGATGGCAACGAGGAGGTGCTCTGCATTCATCTTCGGGGCGTGGGTGGTTCTGGACCCTGGAGCCCTAAACCTTAAGCCTATCCCTGCGGGATTCAGCGTGTGCCATTGGGGTTGGGTTGCTGGCTTTGGGATTGGGGCTCAGAGTCAGGGGTTTCAAAGCGACACGCTGCAAAGAAGGGTAGGTTCTTGGGGTTGCCGAATGCTGACGTACCGACCTCTCAGCCTTTTGGCTGAACAATCCGCATCGATGTTGGTTTAGAGTCGCTTCGAGGAGAAAATCTGCATTGTATAGCCTGCTGGCACAGTTTCTCCTGACACTTGCGCACAGTTGTTTTTCTCTTCTCAAATGACTAAGCCCCAAACCCATGAATACCAATACAGTACATGCTGAAAAGAAATTGACCCTCACAGGCACAGGTCTGTCTTCAGCAGGTGTCTAGCGTGGCAAAGCTGCAAACCCCCTGATGCTTGAATCCCAAACCCAAACCTGTGGACCTCGAGCCCCAATTTGCGGTGCGCCACGTAGCAAACCCTCACCCAGGTTGCTCCGGTTACTCCAGTTCCTACAGTTCACAGCATGTAGGCCGCCTGATAATCTCCATCACGGTCTTCGCAAAGTAAGGTGACCTGAAGTAACCTCAACGCACCGGTTTCTTTGCATGGATGGTTTCCCCCAAATTCAAAGGACACATTAGCGTAAACAAGTGAAGGCGTCTCTGTAACACTTCATAGCAAGCTCAAGTGCTCAATGCTGAACTGTAAGCACGACTGAAGTGTGAATCCTTCATCTCAAAACCTAACTTCAAGCCAAACTCCGCTTAGGTTGACTATCCAAAGTCATCGGCCACCTGGCTCATGTCACTGGGCCTGCATGGTACCGCTAGGGTGATTGCCACAACAATGGGTTTAGTGTCTGTGGTCTGGGGCCAAAACGGGCTTTGTTGTTGATTCACAGCGATTTTGTAGGGCTGTGCTGGAGAGATGTAGGGATTTCACAGGGGTTCACTACAGTTCGGTTTTCGGCTGCAGGGCACCTGTTCGGGTTTGCAGTCAGTTTCTACTGTGAACTTCAGCAAGCCTCACATCAGGATGTTTTGACCATGTTATGTTTTTGATTTTTGCACGTTCTTTCAAATTAGTTACCCCAAGCCCCTCCACCCTAAACTCCACACAGGTTCCACGCCTAGGGCCCAGGGCAGAGCTACATCATCTCCAATCCACAACACTAGATGTTGGTACCACTGCAAAGTCGCCTGGAATTCCAAAAATAGACCCTGCACAGATTACGGTCCTTGCAGGACAGCCCAGTAAAAGAGGTTCATATGCCCTTGCTTGTTAGATGGTGGAGCAGAGCTTCCAAGCATATTACGTTTTTTCGGCGTGTTTTGGGTTGGCGCTTCTGATGGTTCCAAAGCCTTGAACCCAAACTTTTAACTATAGTCCGAACCTATTAAGCCAAACCTTACAACATTGTAAAGACAGCGCTCCTAAAAGGAGCAAACTCCGAAGTCCTAAGCCCGGGAATTCTTTCAGTGGTTGTCTTGAAATCCTAAACGCCGAGCCCAAAAACAGCTGGTCCCTAGAGCCTGAGGACCAACATGAGCGAGGGCAAGACTGGCCACCCTGTAGGCGGCCCTGAGACCAAGCGCTGCGATATCACCGAGGCGTGTGTTTTCTTAGCGGGCTTTTAGGGCTTACGGCTTACGCAGGGGTCCTAGGGATAGACGGGTTCAGGGTTCAGGGGTTCCAGATTGCATGGCTCGAAGCTTGGAGTATTATGCTCATGTCTTGTGACATGCCCACCTATAGAAGGCCTTTTTAGAGCAGCAAGCGATTCAAGTCTTGGCGGGTGTGCTAGTTAGCGTGTGGTGTGGTTAGGGCTGATGGTTTAGGGGTGAGGGTGGTTTGGTCAAAAGGCATGCAGTTAGTAAGTTGCTTTTGGATTATGGAGCAAAAGACATGGATGAAGCAAAAACATGCCACTACGTCTGCCCTCAGAGATTTCCTTCAATTGCCTGGTGGTCCTTCTGTTTTGATCTGGGGTGAATCTGGAGGGCTGGCAACCAAGGATTGAACACTTTTGCCAGCTGATTAACACCCTCAATGCAAATGGGGACGTGCGAGAGACGCTTCATAGCAAAATGACCGTCAAGTGATTTTGTTGAACCTGTCCTCGCATCCGCTGTCAGGGGATCTCCATAGTGAGCCTGGTACTGAGGGTGCGAAAACGATAAGAGTTACCTGGATGGTGAGGAGGATCCATGCGGCGACAGTTGTCGAAGATTGCGTGGTGTGCAGCCCAATCCCTGTCATGATTGGAACTTGTGAGATAAGAGGATAATCCAAGTGTCCAATCATGACTCCGGTGGATGAGATTGCGAGTAAGACACGCCACGCCCAATTGTTGTCACCTGCAGTATTTCTAGAGCCAGAGAATGCGAAGGTCGAGCGCTCACGGCAGTTGCGAGGATGGCAATTGCATTCAAACATCAAGCACAATCGCACTTACCATTCTGCTGGAAATTTTGGAACCGTCCCATGTACAGGAGATCAACACGAATGTTCAACTGTTCGGGGGTCTACAGTACGCTTGGGACGCGGCTCCTGTAGCGACTATCAGCGCTTCAAGAACCATCGCTCCAAATCGAGGCATCAACCTGCAGACCTGGATTGGGAATCCTTTTGCTACACAATTCGTTTTACAAAGATGGCTCAGGCAAGGTGGGCAAGAGAGAATGCTTGCGGTGCTTAACATGCAAGCTCATGAACGGCTCCATGGATAACCTTGGGGCCTTGAATCCCAAACTCCTTACTCCCGAAGCTCTAAAGCTCCAGATCCTGAACCGTCAAGTTGAAGCCCCAAAGCCTGAATCTCAAGACTGGAATATGACAACTAACCCAAGTCCAAATTGTGGCTCCCGATGCTAGGCGCTAGGTCACTATTTCTACATCTACTTTGTGCAGAGCTGCTCTCCCTGCTGGAATCTGCACACCCAAAACCCTCAAATGCTTAGTTCCCAAACCCAGCCTAATCCTTAAGTATCCAAAAAACATAAAACCCAAACCCAACGCACTAGAGCCCTACGATTCCCCCAGTGCCCAATCCCCAAGCCTACATGTGCTGAGCATGTGCGAGAGGTCAACGGTGTCAGGGTCGGTCTCATTGGCCTCTCCGAGGTGCTTCAGTGATCGAGTAGACGGTTGAAGGTTTGGTGTTGCAGGTTGGGGGCAAGGGCCGAACCCCCAACACATACATACACATACAAGCATACATGCATGCATGCATGCATGCATGCATGCATGCATGCATCCATCCGTACGTACGTACGTACGTGCGTACATACACATATATGTATATGTAAGTACATATGTTTTACTTTTTGACGAACAACATTAGTTTTTCTGATCCTTTTTGGGGTTGTTCCATGCTGGTCTAGCGGAGCGTGTTGGAGTGCGTGGATGTAGAGATTCAGGCGTCAGGTTAGAGTTTAAGGTGCGGGATCAGAAGCTTTGAGGTTTGCGTGGTGTGTATGGCTCAGAGCAAGATGCAGCGATTTTTTGCAGGCTTTGGGAGGACTGTGCACTGCTTGTGTGTGCTGCACCTGGCGCAAGCATACATCAAAAGCATGCATGTGCATGCACCTAAGTCGCTTCGTACGTATATGAAGGTGTACTCATGCAGATATACATGTATAGGTATATGTACATCTGTAGGTATATGCACATCAAGACTGTTGCGATAGGCAACTTGGAGAGATTGTGCCTGATCTCAGCGGGGATATGTTGGACTCTATGAGGCGTCGTGTCTTGTTGGAATGTTAGGTTATGATCAATACTTGTCGTGGTCTGGCAGGTGCTTGGGCATTGGGGTGTTCGAGATAGTTCAATAGAATATCTTCTTGTGTTGACTGTATCTTGCCGGGTGTCAAATTGTTTGCGCACTGGGCTTGTGAGACTTACGATCCAAGGCCTAGGTTTGGGGCTTGTCAACATGTTTGGGGTGCATGGGGCATGCATCAGATATTCATGTTCCTGAGCAAACAAATACAAATGAGGGCTTAGAGCACATGGTGTAGTGTCTAGGCAGGTACCTTTCCAAATCTGCAGTCAACATCTAATGCCAAACCCCAAGCCTGCAACCCCAAACCCTAAATACTGCAAACCTCTCAGCCTAAACCCCCCAATCCTGACCGTAAACCTTGAACACCAAAATCCCAAAGCCCAAGCCCTGAGCCTTGAGCTCCATGATCAGGACTGGCTAGCCGGCTGCTCCCAGCTCAAGGAGGGAGAGATCACCTATCAGGCCCTTCTTGGTTCCTTCGGGGTCGGGGTCAGGAATTCGCAGATCACGGTCTAGGGGTCTGGGTTTAGGTAGGGTAGGGTGACAGTTGAGGGTTCAGTGTTTTAGGCGCTGGGTTCCGAGGGTCACTGAGAGCCGCAAATTCTTGTTGTAGTTGGTTCATAGATTCTTTTGAGCGAGCTGCAGAGTGCAATCACCCAAGAGTCCGAATCGTTTACGCCCTCCAAACGCAGAACCCAATCGGATCTTTCAAACACTTCGCTCGGGCTGCGCGATCCTGAGGGAGGGATAGGGTTGTGGGTTGTGGAGCAGGTGGAAGCCTTGAGCTGCAGGCGCATTCGTTGCTGAATGCTAGTGGTCATCATTGCCATTGCCGAAGCTGTAGTGTTTCTGGAAGCACTACTCGTCAGACTCATACTTCTAGTGATGAGCAGTGTTGTGCATGGTAGTACCATCCAATACATGGAAGGAGGTCAAGCAAGGCTTAGCAAAGTTACGCTACACACACCAGTAAGGACACCCACGGCGGATCCCAGCAAACTGCCAGAGCTATGAACACCTATCAACCGTCGATCCCAACCCCCTGGACCGCAAGTCTGTCCATGGGGGGCCCAGTGAGAGGACTATATCGAGACTGGCCGCGAGTATGCCCAGAAGCTGAAACGAGAGGGTGCAGAGGTGGGGCTGACTTTGAACCTGACTTTCAGGGGGTTCCATTTCCGGCTTCGGTATATGTAGGGTAAGTTTTTGATAGCTTCAAAGAATGTTGTTGAGCTTTCCGAGTTTAGAGTTTTGCGGTGAGGCTTTCGGGCTCTATGCTTAGACCGCAGGTGTTCGCAGCGAACACCTTGACCATGTGGACGAGGAAGCTCCAAACAAAAAAACTCAAACCCAAAACTTTGGATCGTAAACCCACCTCTTTAGATTCTAAACCCAGCCTAGAAACCCTCAACTTCAGCACCCCTTCAACACCAGAATAAGCAAACAACAGGTAGTGGTGGCTCTCACGCACAACCGTTTCGACAATGACAAGAAGCTGACTGCTGTGCCTGGGCGATGTTGAGGCATCAGTTTTCGGTTCGGCGTTTAGGATGTGGGATTTCGAAATAATTGGGCTTATAGGCTTATGGATAGTTCGTGTTCAGGCACCCAAGCCCTAAATCCGGCGCTGTAGAACCTTGCGCCTCGGCCTACAGCCTTTTACTTAAACACCTCAAGTCCTAAACCTCTACAAGGCTTCTTGGATCCAAAAAAGCGCCGAAGAAACGATGAAACAAAATGAGAGATATGAACTAAAGCTGTTCTCTGCAGCAGGAGCTCCCGTTACATACCATACTATACTAGGATCTTCATAAGGACCGTCCAAAGAGGGACTCAGTGCTTGAGGAAACCTAAGCCCCAAAGCCTAAATTCTAGACTTCTTGTTTGTCCCCATGGATGCCTTGGCATGTCCACCCTTGCCCCGCATCAAATTCCTACGAACAACCCCACCTGCCGGCCCTGTTAGCCTCTCGGAAGGAAGTGCCGGAAATCGATCTGCTGCTTGGTGGCCACGACCACTTCTACAAACGTGCGGACCGCCCCTAGCAACATGACTTTGCACAAGCTCCAGGATGGAACTGGAGACATTTTGTTTGTACATCGGTCCAAGAAAGCCAACACATCACACATCTTTCGGATATGGCCATGGTGCCTTCCTACCAACGCACATTCCAGCAGGAAGCGACAACACACGTTCAAAGTACGTCCGTACCACACCCTAAACCCTAAGCCCCAGTTCCTAAACCTTGAGAGTTGCATCTCACTTGGTTTTTTTTTAACACCACTGCTTTAGCAAACGATTTCTACACCCACGTAAGACTCCCCAAAAGCCAAACACAGAATGTCCTTCCGAGTTATTCGTTAGAATCGAGGACTTGAGTAACACATCGTTTTTCAAGCCTGAATGACTTCCAGTCTCTTGAGAACATGAGAATCGCAGGACAAGAAGCACCGTGTGGTGAAGTCCGGGGAGGTGGGCCGCGACGTCATTCGATTTTGTGGGGGATCTCAGTATTGGTGAGCCCTTTTTGAGAATGGATTTCCGCCTCCAGAGGAGTGAAGATAGGTATGGAAGTCTGGGAACATCCAGAATATCCAGAATATCCAGGTTTTGTCAAGGGATCCACACCTAAACCATATATCAACCCCACAGTAATCAGCGGTGTCAGGAGTGGCGGTGGCTGACGCACACCATCCTCCATGTGGGTAAGAAACTGGAAAAGATGTCCGTGGAGCGCTATGACGTAGACCCTAGGTTGCCAAAGGTGTGGGGGCTGGGCTTCAGGGATTGGGCATCAGGGTGTGGGGTTCAGGACTTGAGTTGACGGATGAGGGTTAGGCCTTGGGGTTTCTGGGGTAGGAACTTGAGTAGTGTTGGAGTTTAGGGATAAGGTTGTCAGGCTGGGGATGGTTATCCATCAGGCCTGCTCTAAATCTTACAATGAAAACATGAGTCGTAGGCTGCGTTTGAGCCCACTTGAGGTTGAGCCCTACATGCCGGTCTTTACATTCGCATTTATTCCAAAACCTTTAACCTCAGTCAGAAACCCCACATGCACCAAGGCTATTGTTTGGGAAGATGATCACTATTTAGCACTGACATGACCGCAGTCGCGTATATCCCAAACCCAGAGCTAAGCGAGCCTCAGGACTCAGATGTGGATTGCGATCCGAGCATCCAAGAGTTGGTTGACAAGTACACCAGGCTCGACAGTCCTTTTTTGCATTTTGGTTTAGGGTTAGTTTTGATAGTGTTGGATGTTGTTATCTGCCATGTTAGCTTTCAGCATTGGCATTAAACCTAGGCTTGGGTGTTCTTCCAAGGGAGCATCCAGCTAGTTTTTCTGTGGCGTACATTGGTCCAAGCTGGCAACAAGGTCCGACGTCACGGGCCGTAAGACCTCCAAAGCAGTAAACCAACTCGGCATCTCACCCCCTTCGAATCGTGTGCAAATCCTAGTCTGTATAAGCTACAAACCCTAAGCTCTCAATCGTCAAGCTGCAATCCTAAGCCCTTGGACTCCAGACCCTGAGCCAAAAGCAAGCCTGTAAACGTGTTAAACTTAAATCCGCAAGGATTCGTGATAACAAGTTCATGAAGGTCATCTGTCAGCTTCTTGGTTGCTCGTGAAGGCTTAGGGATTGTTGCTCCGACATGGAGGCCCGCAGAGTTGATTATTTGGAGAGGGGGGTTTACGATTCAGGGGTCATCTTGGGTAGAAGTTGTTACGAAGCGTTTGAGTAATAGAGGGGCCTATGTGATTACCAATGTCATGGTCTCAGGTCTCAGATTACTTGGATTCCTTGTAGAACTATGATATGCGGTATATATGCAACTTCAAATGGAATTCAAACGAATATTGTTAATTGTTTAGGCTTTACATGATGTGCCGAGAGCAAGGTTCCATGTGATACCCCTCGAGGATGTTAAAGGCGTCCCAGTGGAGTTCGTCTCATCCCATAAATGTACGCTACCTGAAGCATGAAATCCTAGACCGGAATTTGGACTTCTAATCCATGAATACCCAAACCTTATCACATCGCTGCCAGTATCAGCCAGAAGTACATCATAAACTCTTGGAACGTGTGAGTCTCACCTGGTTCATGTAAAGGGAAGGTGCACTCTAGGGGTGGGTTGAAGGTTGTTTGCAGGTGACCTTGTCCTACACCCCGTTCTCTTACACCTGAACGGATCTGATACAGATCTCACTGGTGCAGACTTCCTTGCAGACTCGTTTACCTATTTCTCAATTTCCATAAGCCATGTTTCCCTCAGTTTTTGTGCGTGGAGCCCAGGATCAAGGCTCCTTTTGACGCCACGGAGGAGTGCTGCAGATATCAGGACGCTCTGGGAGAGAGTGAGTGGGTGAGTGAGTGAGAGTGAGTGCATAGCAATGCTTCCAACACTGGGGATTTGGGCTAAGGCTTAGTTTTCCCTCTCATGGCCGTAGTCATTACATGTCTTTCAGAGATGGTATGCAGATCCAAGAAGGTTGCGCGACGTAATTGAAGGCAGGCGAATTGTACACACACACACACAAACTGCAGCAAAACATGCACTTCTGAACTGACTATGGTGGTTGTGGGCACTGTCAGCGGCCGTAGTCACGTACGTCAAAGTCAATGATAGTGAATGTATGGCGTCATGAAAAACATATGCGATGGCAATTCCCACAGCATGCCTTGAACGTATGGTGTCATTCTTTGCAGGCTGACGTTCCACTGGTCGGGCATAGCAAACGAGGGTTTCATGGATGCCCGTTGAGGAGGTAATGGCGTGTGCTTGTGTAGGCTGTTGATGTTGCACGTTCTCCTGCTAGGTCCTTTGAACCTAGACTTGGTGACTCCTATGGTGTCAGGACCACGGCAGGAGCCATGAATTTTGCAAAAAACACAAACCTGCACCCAGAGACGACATTCATTTCCCAAACTTTGCTTAACCTCAATCCCTAGAACCTTCAAATTTAGAGGCTCCCAGCGCGGTCCTTGAGACTGCATACCAGGAGGGGGTGATGACCAATTGGATCTGCGACGCCATTGCTGAGGCAGCGGAGTTCGGAGGGTTGAAGGCCTTATGAATCTCCGGGCTTGCTGGGTTTCTGTACGGTTTCTACTGTATAAGTTATGACAGGAAAGGATGTCAAAGCCTTAAGTTGTGGTACTTACTTAGTAGGGAATGCCGGAATGGATCCACACAGAAGTCCACATATCATCCCGTATAACGTATACAACCTTTTCGATTTTCTTCCCCTACTAAACACCAGTAAATTGCTAACGTGGAGGATTTTGTGGCGAGGATGGCCAAGGCTGCAAGGGCCAGGGCATGGGATACCCTGCATATGGAGCCTAGATGCCCAAAACCATACGGGCCCCTGGAATACAAAGTCCAATATTTCTGGAGGTATTGCTGAATCAGTCTGCTGGGAAAATTTTCCCTGGCACTGAGCCCGTTTTGCTACGCCCAAGCACTCAACATCTTTCACCCCAAACTCCTACCCTGAGGATTACTCTGAGAAAGATGGCCTCCAGTCTGCAGACTTCGCCATGATCATGGGGCTCCACTTCGCGGGTAAACAGGCCTTTGCCGAAGGGTTTTGGGGCTCGGGAAGTCAGGGTTTGGAAGTTGGGGTTTAGGCGGAAGAATTTGGAACATCAGCATGGGGTATGGGTCGGAAGGATTATGCATCTAAAGTTGGATTGGGGAGTCCCAAGTAGGACGAGGTCTAGAAGCCCGAACCTTAACCTCGCAACCCGAAGCCCAAGCCCGCAGCCCTGAACCCTAAACCCCAAGCAATCCACCACACTCTGGCTGGATTATTGTCTTGAACATTTTGGTCTGAAATCCTTGGCCCTGACTGCGTTTGGCAGGTGTTCCCTGTGGGAGATTTTACCCTCGGCAGCCTCATGTGCGTCTTCCCTAAGCCCTGCCAGGTACGCAGCGGCTAAACGTGTTACCTTTGGAGTATTAGACCTTTTGGTTTTGGGGTTTTGGCTTAATCAGGAGGCCTTCTCGATTTTGGAGTTTACGGTTCCGTGGTTTGGGTGTTGAGTCCTGTGGTTTTGGTGGATGTGTGTGTCACGGGGACTGAGGAATAACGTTGCATCCTCTTGTTGTGGTGGCACAAACAAAACACCTGCCGATCCTGTGTGGTGCTTACTCCCAAATCAGTGATGGGCCTGCAATGGCAGATAGGCAATGTCTCTTCCAGTTGAAGGTGCGCAGGAAGCCCTTGGCGATTTTGGCCAGCATGACTTCACGCTATTTTGGCCGGTTTTCAGCGTTGTTCTTGTTTTTTTAACAAAGCTGTGTGCAACAGCACGGGGGTTTGAACAGGCATTGCCTTACGTTGTACGACCTGCAACTCAACCTTAGACTCTGTGATCGTACCACAAGAGCTTGTAAGTGCTGGACCCTCAGGCTTGACAATCTTCAATCCTAGTTTCTTCCCATGTGAACCCAGAGCTCTGGGCTTTTTTGGATGTTTGCAAGGGGCCCTCTTCTCGCCAAGTGCCCATACGTGCGACCAATCTCCTAACTTTTTTCAGAAAGCCAGGAACATCGGAATCGTCCTACAGCCACGAACTCTAGCCCCCCCCTGGCCCCACACATCCCTAGTCCATAAAACTTGCTTATCCCTATACGTATTTTGCAGGACCTGTAATCCTATAATCTGTGATGCAGATCGTGGTCCTCAAGCTCAAGGGCTCGGACGTCATAAAGTCCTTGGAGCGTGGCTGCATGTCCCTTCCAAAGGACTTTTTCTTGCTCACGGGACGGTGCAAGCGATCGATGAAGTTACACGAGCCGTACGGGCAATGTACGGGCATGATTTGTCTATGAAGACGGAGACGTTGTTCAGGGCCTGCAGGATTTCAGGGTTGAGGGTTGTGCAGTACAGGCTAGAATACCGCAAGCTTGCTAGGTGTCTTAGTTCTGTTCAGACTTTGTGCTTTTCTGTTTTCGGCAAGGGAGGGGTGCGAGGTTGCTGTTTCTTGCCGAAAGACGTATTTGAGATGCTCTCTTGCCAAGATTCATGGGGTCGGGTTTGAGACAATCAAGGATCTGGGATTTGGACCTTTACGCGTCCAGCCTCTCTAGTCCCGTATGCAGGAAATCCGCAGTTCTACTCGGGGATCTCAAAAGTTTGAGGCCGCACACTCATACTGGGACATGGAGGTTTTTCAGAAGCAGGGATTCCGGGCGAAGAGATTCTGATTTAGATCACTCCCCTCTAGCGTGCATAGCAACGCTATGCACAATTTCAATGGTACATAAGACTGGTGGGAACCTGATTTCCGGCCTCAAGTCACCGAGAATGGCCCAATCCCGGAATCAACGCGCACAGGCGGCAACTGTGGGGCGCCAGTAGTTTATCAAGTTCAAAAACCTTAGGGCTGCTAGCTCGCGTTCGTCTAGAGCTCGGAGCCTTGTACCTTAATGCTGAATCCTGAACTCTAACCTCTGCACTCTGCACCCTTTGCACCCTAACCGTCAATCGTAAGCATGAAATCCACAGCCCTACCCCTGCACCCATGGCCTGCTTGAGAAGGAGTGCGGGTCGCTCCACCACACGAGCGCTGCGCTGACCTACAAGATACTTGCTTGTACGCGTTTATGGTGGTTGATTTTGCTAGGTTCATTGTTCTGAGCTTCTGACATGTTTGTCAGGCTTCCAGGGTTTAAGTTGAGGGTCCCAGATTACGGCTAGGGGTAGAGTTTACCGGGCTTGCTGTTTGCCTGGATTCAGCCATTTTTGGCCAGTTCGATGTCGAATTCCTGCAGCTTTTCTTGGAAGGTGTTTCTTTCGGCTTTTTGGGGCGATGTGGCTTCAGCTTTAGGATGCTTTCTTGCAGTCATAAAGTCTATAAATGTTACCTCCCAATACAATGTTGACTACGTGATAGGGAACTCAAGCAGGCACAGGTGTCTCCGAGAATCCGTCCATATGTGCATCCTGCCTGCAGCGGGGGAGCAACACAACCTTGAGCCTCATCCCTCTGAAGTCCTTGGAGCAGCGACATGGGATCTGTCAGGATCAAGCTGGGCAAGGGGAAGGCGGCAAACGAGGCCTTTCATCGGGGGCAGGGTTTCGGGCTCAACATGCTAAAGCGGGCAGTTCTAGAGGCTCTAGGGTTAAGGCAGTGGCCCTTGGCGGTCATAACTATCTTTTGCTTGAAAGGGAAAAAGGTAATGCATCGCTAGAGTTGTTCCTATGTCATGTGATTGGTTGTGGATTTAGGATTCGGGGTAAACAAGTTCAATTCTCGTCCTACTGGTAGAACCAAGTCACCCCATCCGGACAGCACGGCAGTATCAGGTGAACAGTAGCTACAAGCTTATACCTTGGTGATAAAGCGTAATAATGGAAAGTCAAAGGGGAAAGAACATGGAAAATGAAATGGAAACCACTATGTAGGGTTTACTTACCCCAGGTTCTCGTGAGAGGCTATCCAACCACATTGGCGCTGCTAGAAACAGAGATGATCAGGTTTCCAATCTGCGCGCTCTGGAGCCAAACAGTGAAGCTTAAGCCTAACCCCGCAAAGTCAGGGGTATTCACTTCGTAGGCCAACGCTTCAGGATCAGAAGAGTTTGATATGGTTCTTGCGCAAGCATGAGGAGCAATAATTCAAACCAGCCCACACCCAGACAGAGTATTTGACTCCTGCACTGTTTTGCGTACGATCTCACTGCGAAGTTTCTGCTGGTGAGCCAACTGCCAAAGATGACCTGCATTTGCTGGCTGTGGAGTGCGTGTGTCTTGGAGATTTTGATGTGGATTGACAGAACCCTGCATGACCCTGTACAACCTGAGGAAATTCGTTGTAAAGGCATACCCTGCTGATGCAGGTGTTCTAGCCTTAAATGTAGGTGAGCCTGTCCTTTGGGTCCTTTTGATACGTGGCTCCTTATCGTTCAGACATCGGGGCCTTCAGACCCTGAGCCCTGAAACCTTCAAAGCAGGTTACAGATGTCAAAGTGAAGGGCAAAGCCATCCAGAAGGATAAGCTTTACGAGGCCGGTTGTGAGGGGGTACGGACTATAGCTGATGCTGTTTTGGGAGGATGTGGCTGGTAGATGGCCCCCCTCATCTTGAGAAACAGTATTGTCTCAAATCTGATACCAGATGCCCCAACACCAAAAAGGTTCAGCCTTATTCCTCCACTTCTATCAACGACCATTCTAAGAGACCCACAGGCACGCTTAGACGTTTCTGGCATCTCAGAAAGTGGTATTCCAAGGGGTGCCCGGCATACATGGGAAGGAAACTATACAGGGCGTGTGCATCGCAAGATTGACTTGGAAGAAGTTAGGCAGCATAGGCTTGGGTGTCGGTGGGGGTTTCGCGGGGGCCTCAAATCAAAAGCCAAAAGCATCAAAGGGGTCTTGGGGTTCAGGGCTTGAGGGTTCAGGCTTTTGAGTTGAGGCTTCAGGCTTGCAATCTGTACAATCTCAGCAGAAAGTCTCTCATGCCTGCTTGCCTTGCCTGCTGTGATTCTTCCACAGTTCTCACAATGGGCCTGGCATAATCCTTTAAGGTCAGCCTCTAACCGTTTACGCACATCCCTAGGATCTGAAAGCGCACCCCCACTTTGACAAATCCCACCCTAAACCTCAGCCATCGCAAACCCTACACCAGGTGGCCGTGACAGACACCATGGCCAAGGGGAAGTTTGGCTACACCTGGATGGCTGAGGCATCCATTTGCGCAGCTTGAAGTTTGACGACATGAAACGGGCATTTGGCATCGCTTCTGCCCCGCCTCCCCCACGCGTTTGGCATTTTGGCGGGACCCCCCCGCCTTTGATAAAAAACGCTATGATTTGATCCCTGAACCCGAATGCCTAAAATGTGCGAGTTCTCCTGATGGCTGGCTTTCTGAGACTCATTTGTGCGATTCCCTGAAAAACAGACATAGTGCAGAGGTCTGAGAATACAGTTTTGGGGTATCATAGTGGAATTAAACACGAGATTTGAGTTGAATCGCTAAGGTTTCTGCAGTCATGGTAATAATCATTCCTCGACCATCACAGCAAAGCAAGTATGGAACGCATATAGACCAGTTTTGAGCTTTGAGGGGACAACATGGTTTGGATGTGCCCTTGCAAGATTCCAGTTCCGTGTCAGTGTAAGATTCTGCAATCCTTTAACTCCAAAGCGGAATTCCACACCTCAGTGGCTTCCTATCATTTTTGTTTTCTCAAGGTTCCATGATTCGGGGACGACGATGGTGGGGTACGTGCGATTGAGCTTTCTAATAAGCAAACTCGCATGATCCCAAGGGCCCAGGGTCAAGTAAGGCAAGGGACCTCTGAGGGTTTAGAGTTTAGAAGTCCTCAACCCACAGAACCGTTTCAGGTGATTTGTTGTATCTGGTTTCGGGCCCATGTCTTCAAGACCTTTAGGCAGGATTTTAGGCACCAAAATTGGAGCGTTGCGATTTTCCCCGACTCGGGCAACAGGCCATGTCGATTTCATACGCCCAGCATTCACTTGTAGTAGAAGTAAAAAGTAGTGTGCTCTGGAGCTAGATTTCAAAGTGTGTGCAGTAGTGTGTCGGTCTTAATGTGAGGGCAATGGAGTCACTGATGATGTTAGACGCCCCATCCCCACGGCTCCGCCCACACGGCTCCGAGCCGTAAATTACGAATCCCCAAATCAGACATCCCTAGACCCAAACCTTGAAAGCCTAGCCCGATCAACCCTGCATCTCTCCTAAATAACTTACCCTAAATCCCCAAAAAACTCCCTGGCAACCTGCCCACTCCAGTCTCCTGTTTTGATTTCCGGGTGAGGCCGAGCGCATTGTGGACATGGAGTCGGGGATGCAGGTTCAGGATCTTGGGACTGGGTATCTGGGGTTCAGGGTTCCGGAGTGTAGTGTTTCGTGATCAAGTAATGGCGTGGGGATTTTGTGTTTTAGGCTTTGGGGCTAAAGGATTGAGGGTTTCCAGGTTTAGGGATTTGTTGGGTTTAAGCGCTTCTACAAACAAGAAGAGGCCTGATCTTCAAAGGAGCTGGTGCTCCAAGTCCCGTGTGGTAAGTAGAATTATTTTGTAGGCCCATCCACGCCCCCAGAAAACCTCAATCCTGGTTCATAAATCCCTTGACTTGGCCAGGACCTGGTGCTCATGTACCTCAAAAGACATCCCAAGCAGGCAGCACATGCGCCGCTGGGGAGGATCACAATCTCTTGACAGACTGGCTCTTGCATGGGCTTTGGGAGTCTCTGTGGTTGTATCATATGGTGCTTCATCGTGGTGTAAGGGTGTCGTGTATTGGTTTCTGAAGTCTATTGGATTTTGTGATTCGGCTTGGGGTGTAGGGGCTTGGGGTTCGCAAACGGCTGGCATGGGGTATCTGGATTTGTTCAGGCCATTCACGGCAAGTACTGTCTTGTTGAATGATATTTCTGGCCGGTCTGCCTCAATTTCCAGCACGCATGCATGCCCCGTTGTGACTTCTACTGTTCACGAAGGCCACTTTGAAATTCTTGAAGAGGGGCAGGGCTTAGACATAACTTCTACTAGATCTGCCCCATCCTAAAGGGCAGGGGTCATTATGAGCCCTTGATGACAGTAACCTTCAAAAGCCCGTATCAGCGTGATAAGCTGGGCTTGCATGTGCGTGGTTGTCAGTGAGAAATTTTGGGTCTGTGCCTGCTAAGGCATCTGGAACCCTTGCGCAACCCCTGCTTCAAGGCATTCTGTTACGTTTGCACGAAGGCTTCGTGCAACCCATCAAGCCCTTAACCACGAAAAATTATCTAGGCCTCACGCCTTTACAACCTATGAACCCAAGCCTCTTTGGATCAAGAGCCAGTCAGTAGGGCTTGTCCGCAGCGTTCATTTGCCAGCGCCCAGAGGCAATGAACGCGCGAAACCTTGCGCGATTTTTAACAGCAAGGATAGATTCAGGGCCTAGGCGAGGAACAGCAAGGAACAGAAGGCTGTGAAGGCTTAAGGAGTGCAGACTGGGCAACGAGCAAGACTTTGGCTTTTGCAGCGTGCTGTAGTCCCTGCACCCAAAAATTGCTGCAAGTCCCCGTTCATGCTATTACTGAGCTACTCTGCAGTCTAGATATCTGATAGAAGCATTGGACCATAGGTTTACCGTAAACCCAGTGAGCCTGACAGTTGACAATCTCGGGGTTGGGATTTGGGAGTTAGCTTCGCCGCAAGTTCATAGGTGTAGGAGCTTATATGCTCGGGGCGCTCATCAGGGGATTGTTGGACAAGGGCCCTTCCCTGCTCATGATGAAGATGCTTAGCATGCCCTCCACATTTTTTGAGTCCAAGGCCACTAATCTTTTCCATTCTTGTCCCAGGACAACTCGGAACAGCACTATTTTAGGAGCTTGCCAGACACTTTTTCACAGGACAAATGGCTGGCCAAGATACTGTTCTGTAGATTATCCTGTCGCAAACTTGTAGGATAGAGGACCCGTGGGACGATGCCGCTCAAGGAAACAGGGTTGCAGGTTCAGCTTCAATTTTGAATGTATGACTGCAAAAAGATTTAAACTACGCTCCTAGGGAAACATTGCCTCCCGTGTTGGGTTAGCGATTGTGTCGGGTCTTTCGTTCTGTCATTCTACCTAGCCATTGTGTTGGGTTTTGCATTCTGTCATTCTACCTCCGATAAGGATAGAGCGCGGAACTGTCTAGCATTCCTTGTAGCGTCTCTGCCATTTTCGAATACCCTTCTACAAGAAGTGCTGTAAGTGTGTAAACAATCAATCTCAAACCTGAAGCTCTACGCCCTGAAGGGCTTTTGCTTCTTTTCTGGCTTGTCTAGCTTTGTCTGAGCCGCGCGTAGCGCGCTTGGAGCCAGGTCTCACGAGTCGGGCCTTTGATACATGGAGGAAAATTCTACAGAATGTTTTTGCATTTGCCGTTCTGGGCCTTTGATTTAGGGATACGGGTTTAGGGTTTCAGCTTCTGGGTTCATGTTTCAGGATTCAAAGTTTGAGGTTTGGGGTAAGGCCTGCCTCATTCCCCGTGCAGTGGCAGCTATGAGTCTAGGGTGTGGAAGGTTAACGTATACATGTATATACATGTGCAACAGTCGTACCTAGAAGTACATTGGAAGCACAGAGTTTCTGCCATCTACTCACAAATCCCTCCCTTCAGCACGAAGGGCTCCCAAATTTATATGGGAATTATGTAGGGATTCTATTCATGTTCCCCTAACCAGCTTGGTACAGTGCTGATTTGGAACCACTGAAGTACATGGATCCCACTCTGTAAACTGGAGGGCTTGCCGGGGCTGAACTCAGTTTTGTGAAAAAGGTTGGGGTTTAAGGACTCGGCTTCAGGGCCGATTGGGGTCCAACTCGTCGGAGCATGGTTTTCCTGGTTCTCCAGCTGGAGCCGGGCTTTACAAGAGCCAGAATTTTGCTATCGCCTGAACTGCGGCTGGCTCGGACATGGTTCTTCAGTGTCGTGCATTATAATCTCACCCAGCTGTTGTAGCTGTATAGCAGTGAAGCTGAAGCTGTCAGAGAGCCCCAGCACCCAACATGATAATTCTCAAGCTCAGCCCCAAACCACCAGACTGTAAGCAGAAGCCTGAGACATTCAGGAAATCACCTCCTTGCAACCCTTAGAAAGTCATACCTCAAGACCCCCATCCTGCATCCTATGATGAGCCCTAGCATCGCGTGTACTTGCCCAACGGCAAACCACTGGGCTTGCAGCAACCAACACCGGGGCCGTGTGCTTGTGCTAACCATCCGTCAAAAGCACGAACCCTCAACCTTAACACCCGTAGATCTTTAAACCTCAACCCCGGGTCCTTCGACCTTCGCAGCCTGAAGCTACTGCAGTTTTGGGTTGAGGGTGAAATCCTCGAAGCTCAAAGCTCTGCTCCGTTTTGAGAACCAGCCAGTCATCTCTCAGTTGAGAGTCCAAAGCAAGACTCTGAAGCATGGACATGAGCCGGAGTCACGCTGTTTGGGGTTGGTGTATGGGCCCAGGGTTTAGGTTGCAGGGTGTGGAGTGTAGGGAATAGCAGTACTTCGTAACAGCGACAGAGAAAGTATTGACACCAGGAATAAGCGCATTGCTTTTTGGTATTCCCCCAACTAACGCTGCTCATGCTGCCACTAGTACTGTCAATGCCACTATTCCTTTGGCTACTGATGCTTTTCTTGCGGTAGTGCCGGTGTCTCGACATTTGGAGTTGATGAATACGCCGCGCTCAAGAACAGGAATCCTGTTGCAAGGATTCTGAACAGGTGACCCGCATGTCGAGACTCGTCTTATGCAAGCATTCAACCCTAGCGAGCTTCAACCCTAAAACCCAAGGCCTGACAGCCAAGCTAGACTCTGGTGAATATCTCCAAAGGAGGTCCATACCCCGCCGCTTTTCCCACTCAAGAAAAAGCCTATTTGCTGTGTGCCGTTTGAGAGCAAAGTGATCGGAGCTGAAGACATGGATGTAGGCGTTGGGGTTTAGAGTGTAGAGTTATGTTAAGGAAGCAGGGTCTGGGTTCAGGATTTGAAAGTCATAGATTACGGTGTAGTGCTTTCAGCCTGGGGCTACTGAATCCAGATCTTGGGTTGCCTCTCGGGAAGTATTGAAGATCATATGAGTGGCGCATTTCTTCTCGAGAGAATGCATGATGCGCAAGGACTCGTTGGCTTCGTAAATAGGAGTAAAGCCCGAGACTAGATTCAGTCTGCATCGGTTGCACAGGAATCCACAGCATCTACAGTAGGTCCTTGCAGTGGTCCTTGCAGGACCAGCAATCTGTATCCTGTTCGTTGTAGTCGTAGCAGTAAACAATTGCAGCAGTTGTTTGGCGGTAATGCTGGCCTAAACGACAATGGTGCTTCCGCTGTTGAGGGCTTGAATGCCAAATCTCAGAGACGCTGCCTATGGCAAACCCTTTCGAGCTTGGTATCCGAGCTTCTAGACCCTCTTAGAACAGAAGCCCCTCATGCAGTTCAAGACCCTGCTATACACCCTAATCCCTGGCCACTAGACTTCAACCTACCCATCCCACATCTAAAGGATGAAGCCTGAACCTTGTGACATATCCTTAAACCCTATACCCACCCGAATTCTCCACCCCAATGTCACAATTTAACTAATCCTTCAATTATCCATATACCATGGCCCGACACCTCAATCCCGAAACGTCATTCCCTAACACCCAGCTCAAACCCCACCCCGCAGCCGCGTGGCAACCTCAAACCCCAAACCGTACCCCCAATCCCCAAACATGAAGCAGCACAGCAATCCTGAAGCAATGGCCGGGCAGCTTCCGAGATGGCGCGCCTTGCGCAACTGCTTCCTGATTTGCCCTGGATAAACGTTTGCATACAAGGTCCAGGGTAGGGTTTCAGGCTTGGGATTTAGGGTTCGTAGGGATCGGGGTTGAGTTTTCAGGTCCCGAAGATACGCAGAAAGGTGTGTACAAAGGTTATGCCACAGCTTGAGAGGATTTGCTGGGGCATGGCATTGTGTGGACTTGCGCAGGTCTTTGAAGCAAGGCTTTTCTTCTGGGCAGATTCTGATTGCTCAGGCTTCCAGGAAGAGGCTCTACGAAGATTATGTAGACTGTTGCAGATCTAGTTATAGGCGTCTACATGAGGTTTATCGCCATTGGGCGCTGAACACTATAAACCCTGAGAGGTGTTTCAGACTGGGGGTCCACATCCGCACAACGCAAGCAGGTTGAAAAGCTTTGACCTTGGGAGGGAGCGCTCAAGTTGCATGCGTGCTCTGCAAAACGCCATCTCTTTAGCTTGGCGTTTGCAGAAAGGATTCGTGGCCGCGGCAAAAGTCGTGCAAAAGCCTCACATTCTGTGCTTACGGTTTAGTGGCTTTTTTAATGGTCTGTTTGGTGGATGCGGGGCTTCGGGCGTTGTGCTCTGCAGCTCTGTGGCTGAACCACGCCACCTCAAACCCAAGTCTTGAGCCCCGCAATTACTTGAAATCACCCCAAACCCATGTCTTAGCACAACGGAACTCAACCCTACCGCCCGAGGCTGAAGAGGTTCCACCTGCCGACCAAGTGCACGTCTGCAGAGCTGCGCAAAGCATACTACAGGCCCCTGGCTTGTGTGTTTCTCAAAACCCGTGCTCCTGATTTAGATTTCGAGATTCAGCGTGCAGGGCCCAAGTTTCAGGTTTCAGGTCTCTGATTTTGGGGTGGGGAATAATATTGATTGGCATTTCCCAAAACGCAGAGGGCTGAAGGGGTATGAGTTGAAGGCAGGGGGGTTGAGAGTTCTTCCGGTCGTTTCTGGGATTGTCTCTCCCTTTTTTGATACCCATGTTTCCATAGGTGGGCTGTTTGCATCCCTACAGTCCGAATGTTATCCATCGAGCCGGGGAACGTGTCACACCTTACACATCCCTTATACGACCCAAGCAGGTAAGCTCGTTTTCTGGGCGCTCAAGTTGCCCGAAGGTGTGGACATCTCTCGGAGCCGTGCCTCTCTTGGCCTTCAGGAGGGTTGTACATTGAATATTTTCCTGGGTGTGTTTGCAGTCTGAACAATTGTGAACCCTATACGGTTGTACAATCCTTGTTGAAGCCTTTAGTACCATATCCCTTAAACCCCAGTCCTTGAACCCAATCCTTTGTGACGTAGTTACCTGCAATACCTCGGATCCTGAACCCGAACCCCTAAAGCCCACACCTCAAAATCCTACCCCAAAGCCTCTAAGTGGCCCCCAAGCCCCAAAGCCACCTCCCTTGGTATAAATTCCCATGTAAGGGAAGCCAAGAAGCTGCATCCGGACCACAATCCGAGCAGCTGCGGGGCCCAGGCAGCTTTTCTTGGGTCCGTGTTGAGGGTTTGGAGGTGGGGGTCCAGGCTTTGGGCTTGTGAATATTGATCGGGAGATGAAATGAGATTTGATAGTTCAAGATTCCAGAACGAGCGGGGATCGCAGGGATATTCCCAAGCATGAATTCAAGATGCCACTCTGAGGGGTTTATGGGTCAGCTTGGATTTTGTTTAAGGGCTTGTGGATAAAGATCAGAATATTGAGCTGTCGATCATTAGGAAGATGGCCCTTAACTCAGCCTAAAAGCCACCCGTTAGCCCTAGAGCCTGCCACACTGGCCACAAGCCACAACCTGATTGCCTCAGTGCTGACCATGGGTCTGTGATGGTGGCATTTCCCTGTAATAAACATAATCGTAACGTAGTATGTGGTTCCCACGATCTGACTTTCCGGTCCCATGGGGGTTGCCAAAAAGTTCTGCGTTTGGGGAACATTCGTTTAATCAAAGTCTGACTTGCAGGCTGCCGTTGCAGTCTTTCGCCTTTCCCAGAGAAGAGCTCTGCTAAATTGGGAATAGCAATTCGCGGGGGGAAGCGGTTGAGGCCTGCTGTGTAACATGGGGATGTCCAGCTCAGGCCGACGAGTTGGGTTTAAAACCTCAGTCTCAGCCGCAGGAGCTCAAAGCGTGCTGAACCCCAAATCCTAGACTAGATTCAACCAATCCCGGAGAGAGAGAGGCTTTCGCCCAACTTCGAGCAGACTTCGAAGAGGCCTCCGCATCGGGTGCCGCATCGTATATATGCTTTCGAGGGTTGTGTGATGAGAGGTAGATGTGTAGGAATGAGGGAGTTCAGCCGTGAGGGTGTGGCACTCTGGCCAGGCTTGTTTGGGCTTATTTATGCACATTTGGCCTTCAATGGGTGTATTGCCATGACGTTCAATGCAGACGGTTGTGAGTCTGTGCGTTCAGGATTCGATTCTGTTAAAGTTTCAGCAGGGGTTTCGGACGATCCTGTTTTGAAACATGCTTCAGGAATCTCTATGACTTTCGGTCCAGAAGCCACTCGAACCCTGCCTGCTGGTACGTTTTATTTGAGCCGAGGGCCGAGACCTCCAACCCTGCTCCCTCAACCCAAAGCACGAAGCCCAGACACGCCTCAATCCTAAGCCCATTTAAACTCAGCCAGGCCACTGCCGAGGGTTTTCAGGGTATTGTTTCCTGGTGGTCTGGGGTTGTCACAACACATGAGAAACCTCGAGTCCAGGACGAGTTAGAATACGTTCAGATCAATCAACTCGCCGGATTCCAGTCATCCCTTCTCCTGGTTGCTTCTATTATTTCTTCTGGGGAGATGCTTCTTCTTGGTTGCATTTTTTGCGATGCGGGAGGGAGACTGGATATTTTGCGGGTGCATTTCCCGTCTGCAGCTTCTCAGGGGCAGCGTCCATTTGTTGTTGCAGGCCTGATGCATGTAGTTAGTTGAATTTGTGTGTGCGACTAGACGTCCCAATCTGCTTCGGAGGAAGAAGAAGAAGCCCATTGGAAGCCTGAACCTTAAACCCCACACCCTTTCGTTCAGGCGCAGAAGCTCCTGGAGCAACCTCGTAGTGGCTTCGCCAAAAGCGCGGGAGGTGCTTGGTGGGAGAGTTTGAGGGCATAGAGAGCAATGCAAAAGGCTTATCGCAGTGTTGGTAGGGATATTCTTGGCAGCCCCAAATCAGAGTAGTGTCTGGGGGGATTAGGATCTGGGACTGAAGGGTTTAGGGCTCAAGGGCCGAAGGGGCTTCTTTGCATTCACCTGGACAGTCTATGTACTGGGTTCTTCAGGGTCGTTTTCCTAGTGAATCACCTAAGCCACCGGTCGTGTTGACGGCAGCCTGCGGCCATTGTTGAATTATGCTTTAAGATTGGACCGGATTCCCAACTTGTATGGGTGTCTGAGACATGGGTTTGCTTCACTAGGGAAAGCGCTGTAGCGTGGGAGATCACACGTGAGAACCGTCCCTCGAAGAAATTCTGAACAGATTGAGCAGGACTTGAACGATTGCATTACAATTATGCGAGTTTATGGAAGCGCTTATACTACACGGGAGCCATGGCCTGTACTGCACGTTCTCCGGGACGGCACCTTCGTCCGGTGCCAAACTGAACCTCTGCAGCCTACAACGAACAATATGTCTAGTGCAATTCGTTACGACACGCTTGGAACCTGAACCCCCAACCCCTGAACCCGTATCCAATGAATGTTCCCTGTACCAGATTTCCCGGACTTCTCCTTTGAGGAGAACGTGGCGTTCGGGTATCGGAGTCAGAGCTTTTGGGTTTCAGAGCTTGTTGTTTAGACTGTTTACTGTTGGAGTGTGGGCCTTCAAAGCCCGAAGCCCCGAACTCTCAAGCTGCTAGGGTCTGGGGAACTGGCGGCTTTTCCCCTTTTGGGTTTCGGAGTCTGGGCCAAACTCTCTTGCTCTTTGCTCCTTGAGGTCCTTGTATCCGGTTCGAATGCGTACATGCACCTAATTAGAGTTCGGAAGTCTGGCCCCCCCCGCCCCCCAAACAGGAAGCTGGAATATTTATAAAGCCATCCAGCCATGAAGAGGCGCAAGAAAAGCTGTGGCAGCACAGCGTTTCGCCCGTTCCTATCCAAAATCATAACCCCTGGCGCAGAAATCTACAAGCATAGTATGCACTCAGGGGTGCAAAAATGCATGACCACAAATGAAAAAGGAGTTCCTGCAAATCTCGCCCGAACAGGCAAGCCTTTTCCATGGGACCTTCAAACTAAGCCACCGGCAAGTAAAGTGACAGCGTGTATACACACCAGGGCTTAGCGAAACAAGAAACAACTGTCCTAAACAACGACACTAACGAAATCTAAAAGAGGTCATTTACACAACCCGAAAATCAAAGCAATCCGGGTTGGAATGCAGCAGGGCTGTAGCAATTGAATTCTGCAGCGCTGCATAGAAAGGAACACAGGTGAGCCATTGGAATTCTCATTCGATCGTCTTGCACGACATCATGCTGGGCATTAGCCCAATACACGGATGGCCGTAGACTCCCACACTCATAGAAAATCACTGTTGCATCACTCATTTCATTCACTTGCTCAGGAACAGCCACGTCGGGAAGAAGGGGACGGGAGTCGATGCCTTGATCCATGGGCCACCTGGCCAAATCCAGGTGGTCCTTGCAAATCTCGACGTACTTCCCCGTTGGCCCTGGCAGCCTTGAGCACGGACTCCAAGCCCGTCATGATGGCAGGATTCCTTAGGACGAAGTAGTGGGCAGCTAGGCTGGAGTCATGGCCCAAACCCAGGGTCAGCTGTATGAGGTTTTGAAGGCCATCGCGCGTTGCACAATTTTCACGGCTCCCTCATGGGTTTCTCCTCATCAGGCTGATACTGCTCGCAACAGGTGTGCTTGCGATAGACGGACGCAGTCAAGGTTGCCACGCACTCCGCCGTCCTGTGGAGATAGAACTCCTTAAAGCTAGAGTGTCCCCGCATGCGCTGATCAGCCACGGCCTTGTTCTCACCATCCAGGGTGTTGCAGTTAAGCAGCGCCTTGGGGTGCACCCCAATCGCACAGCGGATGATGAGCTCAAAGAGGCCGAGGCCGCTGCTATCGTTAAGAAGCTGACCAAAGCTGAAAGCTGTCGCTGGGTTGCCGACGTTCATCTGATTTTCAAGCTACGCGGTTTCGCAGTCTGTGAACAAGGAAGCAAGCAGTGCGTGCACATTCTCTTTCGTTCCTTTCTCCATTGGAGCAATTGCATGGGAACTGGAGCTAGCGACTTTCCTGTCCGCAGGCGATTCCAGCCCTGTCTGGGCCAAACCGATAAATAGTGAAACCTCTTACAGCCCTACTTACAGTAGGGCTAAAACTACGGTGCGCGCTCAAGCCCCTCTGCCCTAGTAAACCACCTACAAAGCTGACAGTTGGTAAATCCTTGACTCTCAATTTCTCTCCTTAAATCCTTCATGCACCTTTGCCATCCAATTTATCATCCTTCTGACCCTTTGATTTTTCTCATATTGCTAGTGCCTTGTCGCAGTCGAGGGACGGATGCCTGCCGCAGGACTTCTGCGTAGAAGCGTGCTTATGGACCAGATATGCTGTCAATTGTAAGCCCCAACTTTTAGACTAGATTCTAGACTCTGATTCCTATATTTCAGACTTTCAAAAGGGAAGCCAAAGCTCTTGCCAGGAAGCCCCAAATGCCGAAGCCCGCTTCGAGTTGCGTTTACATCAAGTGGTCCTCCTTACAGAGGAACGCCAAAGTGCCATTGAAAGCCCTTGAGCCAGCCTGGAGGATGGCAAGCGCTGGTCAGCCGCCGCGTGGGCAGCTCGATCCCAGGCAAATGTTTCGGGTTTAATGTTGGAGGATGTTTGGGTCATGAAGCTTCGTATGTGGAATTCAGGGTGTGGCGCCTGAAGGCTACACCGCAAACAGCCTGGTTTCTGCAGAGGCTTTTCGCGTGCAAAAGGAGGGTGGGTGCAAAAAACACAGCATAGGTTTGAGGGCTTAGGGTCTGGGGTGAAAACTGGGCGCGGGCGGAACCTTGGCAAGCGCACACCCTGCGGAAAATTCATGTTAGCAGCCCTTCAACCCAAATTTTCCGAGAAGGCGCCGCCCGGCTTCCGGGGATTCCGTGAGGAGGACTCCAGCGCGCGGCCGGAGCCCTCTGTGCGCCGTGTCGGCCTATCGTGATTTGGGTTTAGGGTGTGCCGTTTTGAGTTTTTACGTTCTGAGGCCCGTTATCTAATGTCTGGGGTTTGGGAAGTGGCATGCGCTTCCAAGAGTCGGGCTGTATATGATGCGGGTTGAGGTTTAGGGTTTTGAGTATAGAGTGTAGGTTCTGGGGCTTGGGATTTTTGGGTTCGGGGTTTA